GACACACCTTAACTTAACTAGGGTTCTATTACCCCTCGAACTCATTTTTATTTTATTTTCGTGCACCTTCAACTAGGTAAGTGAGTTGTGTTTGTACAACACACGCCGCCATGTGTGTAAATATTTTTTTAAAAAAATATTCTTATTTTCTTTATCTTGTATTTAAATTAAGTTAATACAAGTAATTTTTTAAAAAATATTTCGCCTTGTATTTAAACTTTTTTCTTCATTTGTTTTTACCTTCATTCATTGTTTTTCTCCTTTTCTTTTCTATTGATTTTATTTATTCTCTTTATTTTCTTAGTCTTTCCTTTTGATTTTTGATTTCAAATTTTATTCCACATGCCATGTATTTAAAATAAGTTAATATTGACCAGATATCAAAATAAGTGAAGAAAATCAAATCAACCATAAATTTCTGTTTGAGTATGTTTTTGATGATGATTAATAAAATATACTTGTCCAAATGGTGCATGCTATATATCAAGCTACCAGATTACACAATTAACAAGTCTGTTGTAATTGAAATTAATAAGCAATATACATTTCAAAACACTATATATCATATCTTTGAACAAAAAATTCAATTTTTTTTTTTGCCAATTCGGAATTTGAAGTGTCTGTTGTAATAGTTATGTCTAATATCTTGTTGGATTCCATGTACATATATCTGATATTTTGTTGGAACATTCAACTAACCGAAAGAAGTCTTTCCTCATCGTTCTCGAGTAAGGCTTGTCGTTCTTCAGATGAAGCATTGCCTGTTTCTTCAGTCTGTTGCAACCTGGCACGATCCCTGTCTCGTGGATACGTGCAATAGAGGAAGGAGTAGAAGAAGCAGCAAATCGCAATTGGAATGCCTATTGCAGTGTACAATGCCTTGGCAAGTGAGGCAGCATTCTGTCTATCTGTTTTAATTTCCTCTGAGCCTGTTGATCCCTCTGGAATTGGTTTAAAACCAAAAATGTGTTGAGCCAAAATGCCAACCAGTGGAGGAGCAAATGATGATATAATTGACTCGAAAGATCGATCCAGAGCATAAATGCTTGTTCTAGCTCTCTCTGGAACAATCTCTGCAAATATTGGACTGCATATGTATCAAAGACGAGTGCTTTTAGTAAGATTCCACAACAGATAGTAATGACGTAAAACTAGAAAGATCAACTAAGATGTCGAAGATAAAAGCATAGACGCAGAGTCATGTTTGCTGTTAGCCATATAAGTAGAATGCAGCTACAAGTGCTATCTAATACATTGTGGTTAAACAATTCGCTTGGTTCCAAGCGAACATTCATGTAATAATATTTGATAAATATGATAATGGTCCAAGATTGCACTGCACGACTAGGTGAATTCGATGTCCATAATTTTGACACAAACCTAAAACACTGAGCCTTTCACTGCACATGGAAATGAGATGCAATGAGTAATTCTTGAGCAGATAAAGATAGAGCCAATGGCGATATTTGAAAGAACAGAAAAACAAGTTGGAAGAGGAGATAAGTAGCAAGGAGGGAGAATTCTAATTGGTGTCGTGTCGTCTATCAACTTGTTCAGAATTTAGAGTCACAACTTCACAAGGATTTATGCAGGGTAACTCCCGATTTAATTCAGCTCTAGAGCACGTCAAGAGATTACATGACTACTTGAAGTCGGTTCATAGTTCGTTTAGATACTAGTGTTAGTAATACGCTATAATTTAGTTACTAGTTTCATGTTATGTGTCATTCCCATATTTTTCAACTAAAGTATTATAACAGATGATACAGTGGGCACAAGGAGACATACTTGTTAGTTGCTGGAGCATTCCATGATACGCATAATCCCATGATAAACATGACTATACCATGCATCAGAGTTGTTGAAGGGTCATAAGGCAATAGCAGAAGCAGAATTGCAGCTAAAGGAACTGCGGAACCAGAGCTTATCTGCGCTAGAATAATTCTACCAGAATTAGGCAAATGCTTGGCTAGGACATCCCCCATTGTACCTCCGAATAGCGCACCAATTGATTGAGCAACATTAAACAAAGTCCAGAGGAGGGCTGTTGATTTGTGAGAGAAGCCAATAAGCTCCAACCACATAGGGGCGAATGACAATGCTGACCACGGGAATGACCCCGAAATCCCTTGGGCAATAAGTAATTGAAAGGAGGGTACTTTCATAACTTCTTTTGCTTCTTTAAGCAGTTGTCTCACTTCTTCTTGAAATGGTGGCGGTGGAGGTTGATCTTTTGCATTGCCATCACTGTCAACAAAACGGGGATCGTTGGCTAAGAAACGGACCAAAATTCCAACAGCAACACTTATCATACCAACCAAATGGAAGGAGATTCTCCAGCCTGGTATCCCCATGAATGATGTTTCGGCTAACAACACAGATATAAGCCCTCCAAGGGTGGAACCAAAATTTGTTGTTAGTTGTAGCCATCCAAAAGCTGTACCGCGGTTACTGTCATTAGTCGAGTCAGCAACTAGAGATTGGATTGCTGGAGTGACTATTGCAAGTCCTATTCCGTTCAAACCTCTAGAAATTGCTATCTGTCAAACAACAGGAGTGTAACCATACAACTCAAATTCAAGAAAGATAGCACTTCTATCTGCAATGAATTTAATTCGCTTGTTCCTCTACTATGTCAATGTGCATCATATATCATATAAAGCGAAAAACAACAAGAAGCTTTTAGTTCAATCGAATCAAACTTCTACTTCCCAACCACACCAATTCGCAAAAGAAAAAAAAACTAATTTTTCGAGTTCCTCATTTTCGAATCTCTTCTTGAATTCAACAGTCTTGTTGTCATTAGCCCCTACTAATAAACAAGACACAAAATTGAGAGCACGACTACGAACCAAAGTTCCTATCATCCAATTAATATGATGTTATCAAATCACTCCAAGCATAGAATCCCTCACATTTACCCCCTCCCCACAAACTTCCCAACAACACCAACCCAGTGCAGTCCCGCAAAATGGGATCCTAATGTACGCAGATCTTACCCCTACCTCAAATATAGACATGTTGTTTCCTATACACCCTCAACTCAACGAAAACCAGTCCAACCCAATCCAAAAAAAAAGCAAGTACCAGACGAATCTTAGTAGCTCAGTTCACCTCATTGGTGAACGTTCAATTACCCACCCTGTAATCCCCTGCCCCCAATTTTTCAAAAAAACAAGAAAACCCCAAAACAACAAAAAATTCATGAATTATCAAGACGATATAAAGAAGGATTGAAGCAGAGACCTCAGTAAAATTAGCGGAGAGGGCAACAAGGAAAGTAGCAGCAGACCAAAGAAAAGCACCAAGAGCAATGACATGAGCTCTGTTATGACGAGCAGAAAGATAGGCAGCTAATGGATAACAAAGACATTGAACTAATGATCTAAACAGAGTAAGAGAACCAAGACCAGTTGGATCAGTATGCAAATCTTCGCCAACTTCTTTATAAACACCAGGTAACAAAGTTTCATCCGCTTTCTCCATTATACCAGCAATATTCACCAATACAAGAGTCAACGTATTTGATCGCAGATTCTTCAGCTCCACCATTTTTTCCGGTGATCGGAGTTTCGAAGGAAAAAACTGAAATTGTTTCTGGCCGGTGGAGGTTGTTGACTAATTTTATTTAGCAACCATGAAGGACTCCACGTGGAGGTATGGATAGGTATGGCCCAGGGGCGGAGCTAGCAATGGGGCAAAAATTATTTTATATTTTGAATTCTATTAGTGAAATTTTTTACTCCTAACATGTATAAAAATTGTTTTTTTTTATTCTCGAGTCAAGCGTATCATTAAGAGTCTCTCTAATTTTTAATATAGAATTGAAATATGAGTATATCCTATTTTTCTCAAAATTTTACTTATAAAAATATGTATTGTTATTGTTATTGGATATGTAGGACCCATATAGTTGACATAGTGGATAAGATTAGTTTGTGAAGCTATGATAAGATTATATTCAACTTTTAATTATTTGAAATGTATATCATTTTAATACATTTGGTTGTGAGTGATTATCAATTTGTAAAGTTATTGATCATTTCACCATTAGATTTCTTAGGTATAATATTAAATACATATTATTACTTTATATTTAACGATAATATTTTTTTATATATATATTATTTGTTTTATTTTAGCTATTATTTTAGTTTAAAATTTTGTTCTAAAATAATTATCGCTTTAAAAATTGAAGATTAAAATTGGCAATTTTTTCAAACTGTACTCTAACAGTAAACAAGTACTAGTTTTTAGTACCCACTAAAACATAATAAATAAGGCTATGTATTATTTTTAATGGGCGTAAAATGAGTTAGCGCTATAGTTAAAATGTTATTGAGGAAGTAACTTACTTTATGTAAAAAGATCTATTAACACATATTTTAATTAATTAAAGAATTAAATGTGTTGAATCATAAATCATAAAGATTAAAATTAAATTTTACCAATAAATGAGAGAAATTATCAATTTGCTTAGGGGTGTGTTTGGAGTTGCAAACGTAACAACAACATCATATTTCGTGTAATATTACAACAAGGTTTAGAAATGGTGGTGTATGCAGCTTTATTCTTAGTATTTTATAAAGGTAAAGATATTATTTTCGATAGATCATTAGTTCAAGTAAAGCATATGAAAAGACCAAGTATGTAAAGCATACATAGTTGTAGAAGCCATGTTAAAAATAATAAAGAAGAGAATATAAATAAACACTGACAAAATATAATAGGATAATTGAAGCAAAGAAAACAACCAGTAATATTAAAATTGACTAATCCGTCTCATAGTGATTTTTGAAGATGCCTGTAAATGGAAAAGTAGACAACTAACATAGAACGAAAGGAATTGTCTATGTATTAGGCCTTACTTAAATCCTTACTATAATACTTATATTTATAGTTGTTTTATAGTTTCAATAACTTTTTCTCGAGAACTTCATACATATGTATGTACATGTCCTAAATGTTAACATTGACAAAAAAAAAAAAAAAACTTGGCAATGGTGATGATGAAACTGAAGAACTACTTGAGATCAGATACATTGACACTTGTATTGATAAATTTTGCTGCTATAATGGAAATGGCTGATGAAACTCTGTTACCTGGAGTTTACAAAGAAGTTGGCAAGGATTTGGGCATTGATCCTGCTGGTCTTGGCTCACTTAGTCTCTACAGATCATTAGTTCAATGTCTTTGTTATCCTCTTGCTGCATTCCTTGCTGCTCGTCATAATCGTGCTAATGTCATTGCTCTCGGTGCTTTCCTTTGGTCCGGTGCCACGTTCCTTGTTGCCATCTCCTCTACCTTCATTGAGGTCTGTCTGCTTTATGAAGTTAGTGTTGTTTTCTTGGTTTATTTGTGTAGATTTGTGTAGTGGTGTAGACAGAATTTTCACTAATATATATTATATATACATAAAAAAAACCGACCTTGTATATATGGTGTGCTTTTCTAAGGAAGAGGATTGATGAAAATCCCTTTCCACTCTCTAGCTCTGCCCTTGGACATAAAAGAAAAGGGTTTTAAGTGAAAAAAAATACAAAATGAGGTTTCAGGTTCAAATACAGCAGAGACAAAAAACCGCTAGGTGATTTCTTCTCATTTGTCCTAACCTTAGTGGACAGAGCTACCTGATACTTGTTGTTGGTGTGGGATGGGTAGGTATCCTGTGGAATTTGTTGAGGTGTGTGAAGACTGATCCAAACATCACGGTTATTAAAAAAGTTGTGTATTTTTGAACCTGAGAAATTAGTTCGTGTCTCTATTTGGACCAACTAGAATTCGACTCATTTCAAATTTGTTGTTTAACAGATAGCAATTTCGAGAGGATTAAATGGAATAGGACTTGCAATTGTCACACCAGCAATCCTATCTCTAGTTGCTGATTCAACTCATGATAGTAATCGTGGTACAGCTTTTGGATGGTTAGCACTAACTGGAAGTTTTGGTGCAATTATTGGTGGGACTATGTCTGTGCAGATTGCTGAAACATCATTCATGGGAATCCCGGGCTGGAGAATCTCCTTTCACCTGGTTGGTATTATAAGTGTTCTTGTTGGTCTTTTAGTCTATCTCTTCGCCAAAGATCCCCACTTTCTTGACAGAGATGTTAATGTAAATGATCAGCCTCCCCCGAAACCATTTCAAGAACAAGTGAGAGAACTGCTAAAAGAAGCAAAAACAGTTATCAAAGTACCTTCCTTCAAGATAATTGTTGCACAAGGGGTTGTCGGGTCATTCCTTGGGACATCACTGTCATTTTCCACTATGTGGTTGGAGCTTGTTGGATTCTCCCACAAGACAACGGCACTCATCATGAGTTTGTTTGTAGTTTCTCTGTCATTTGGCGCGGTTTTTGGAGGATTCATGGGGGATGTTTGGGCAAAGCACTTCCCTAATTCTGGTAGGATCATCGTCTCTCAGATAAGCACTGGTTCAGCTATTCCCTTAGCTGCAATTCTGCTGCTGCTATTGCCTAATGATCTTAAAACAGCTTTGTTGCATGGTTTAGTCCTGTTTATATTGGGATTTTGCGCATCATGGAGCGGTCCAGCAGCAAACAGGTATATCTACAGATCCAATATATCATTTGGGTTAAACACTTGACAGATTTTTCAAGTTTGTTTTCCCTGTTTGTCTCCAAATATATCCAAACTCTTACCTTGTATAGACCGATGTAAGAGACTGCTTACCACTTCTTTCTCTTTATACCGCCTTCTTCACTCTTTCCTCTTGCATACGCACACACAAGCATATGTATGCACTTGAAATGTTTTAAGAAGCACATGTTAGGTACATTCATATTAGTAGTCGTAGTATTGCTCCAATAGTTTCTTGTCCTTCTATTTCTGTTACTATCTGTTGATTACTTATACCTAGATTATCTTATTGTTTTGTTGTAGTTTCTAATCTGTTACTATCGGTTGTTTTTGTTATTTTCTGTTGGTTTCTTGTACTTCCATTTGTCTATTTTGGATAACTTTGACTGTTTTTTCTTGAGTCGGGAGTCTATCGGAAACAACCTCTCTATCTCTGAGGTAGGGGCAAGGTCTGCGTACGCTCTATCCTTTCCAGGCCCTTTATGGAACTACACTGTGTATGTTGTTGTTCTTATGTTAGGTACATTCAAATGATGCTCAAATTAAAATGCCTTTTTATGTTTTTTGCATTGATCTTAGATGTTTTGCTCTTTTTACATGTTTGTAGTCCAATATTTGCTGAGATAGTTCCTGAGAGAGCTCGAACGAGCATTTATGCTCTGGATCGATGTTTCGAGACCTTGTTAGCATCATTTGCTCCTCTTCTAGTTGGTACTTTAGCTCAACAAGTTTTTGGCTATAAGCCAATCCCTGAGGGATCTTCAAGTTCAGGGGAAATTGAAACAGACAGACAAAATGCTGCCTCACTTGCCAAAGCAATGTACACTGCAATAGGCATTCCAATGGTCATTTGTTGCTCCATCTATTCCTTCCTATATTTCACATATCCACGAGATAGGGATCGTGTCCGGTTGCAACAGATTGATCAAACGCGCAATTTTCCATCCGAAGAACAACAGCCCTTACTCGAGCACGATGAGCACGGACTTCTTTCAGTAAATTAGTTGAAATCTCTAGAATCTAACAAGGACAAACTTACTTCCTTGCTTTGTTGTTTGTATTTGCTTTACTCTATACAGACATGTGACTCTTCTCTATACATTTAATTGCCATTGAGTATAAAATAGTAGTAACAAAAAGGGGAGAAACTTCATGCATCAAAACTTGGAATGATCTTTACATCTATATATGTCTTTCCGGTAAATACTTACTCACACCAGATGTTTACCTCAAGTTATATAAATTTATTATAGTTAAGTGATTTAATGTGGTAAAAATATACTTCCTCTGTCCTAATTTATATGACATTGTTCGAATTTCGAGAGTCAAACAAACTTTTTTTTTTACCACAATTTATTCATATGCCCTTTAAATATTTTCAATTATTAATTATGACTTATAGAACTTCTTATATAGTGTCATTCAAATATTTTCAATTGTCAATTTGTTTAGGGGTGTGTTTGAATTTAACAACAACAACAACAACAAAAAATTTCGTGTAATTCTAATGTACGGTCTAGAGATGGTGGAGTGCATACAATTTTATCCCTATCCTGTGATGATAGAAAGACTATTTTCGATAGACTTCCGACTCAAGTAAAGCATATAAAAAGACCAAAGTATGTAAAGCATACACAGTTCTAAAAGCCATTTTGAAAATAATGAAGAAGTGAATAATAAACAATGACAGAATAATATGACAATTGAAGCAAAGAAAGCAACAACCGATAAATCCTTAACAATAATATTTTAATATGTTCACCAACTATTAATCTGATAACTCAATAAGCCAAATTTGCGGTTGGATTATCGGTTATACGATTGGATTTTCAACATCGTAGTGTAAATTAGTAAAACTATCCTCGTTAATTATGATTTCTTAAGGCATCGTATAAATAAGAAAGTAGACAACTAATATAGAACAGAGCAAGTAGGCATTTGACTCAATTGAAATATCCAAAATAAGAAAACGTGATACTTCAGTAGTTGTCTAATGTCTGTAATCTATATTTGGCCTTTACGTAAATCCTACTACAACACTTACATTTATATTATTCTTTTATTGTTCCAATAACTTTATCTTGAGTTCTTCATATATATATATAGATGCATGTCCTAAATGTTAATATAGACTTACAAACAAAAAAGAGAAAAAAAAAACAAAGCTTTGTTCATGATGAAGCTCAAGAACTACTTGAGATCAGATACATTGACGCTTGTGTTGATAAATGTTGCTGCTATAATGGAAATGGCTGATGAAACTCTGTTACCTGGAGTTTACAAAGAAGTTGGCAAGGATTTGCGCATTGATCCTGCTGGTCTTGGTTCACTGAGTCTCTACAGATCATTAGTTCAATGTCTTTGTTACCCTCTTGCTGCATTCCTTGCTTCTCGTCATAATCGTGCCAATGTCATTGCTCTCGGGGCTTTCCTTTGGTCCGGTGCCACTTTTCTTGTCGCCATCTCCTCTACCTTTGCTGAGGTCTCTGCTTCTTCCTCTGTAGATGGTGTTTTTCAAATATAGAAATGAGTTGAATTCTAGTTGATATTTCATGAAAATAGTGTTGGTAGTGTATACATAATATACAATGTAATTTTCTGAGGAACTGATAGGATTTTCACCAATCTATCGGGAACTGACTCTCTACCACTAAGGTAGTGGTAAGGTCTGCGTACACTTAACATCCTCAAACCATACTTTGTGAGATTTGTACACTGAGTATGTTGTTGCTGTTGACTCTGATTTCTTTAGAATTGGAAAGTTTAAGGTTTTATATATTGGATTCTATGCTTTTCTTGAGAGTTAAGAGTGGAGTGTGAGTGATATCAATTGGATTATAAGTTATTTGTTTTGTTTTTATTGTTGCCTCTTGTTTATTAGTACGAGTCAAAGACAACAAGACTGTCAGGATAAGAAAAATAATTCTTGATAACTAGCCTTTAGGAATTTATCTTTGTTGAGGTTTTAAGTATCTAAATGCTACCAACTTAAATTTGTAAGTGTGGACTTGTTTTGTTAGTTATCATTGAGGAATGGTCTAAAGTATATACTGATCTCTAAATATATGTAAGACATCTTAGTTCGGTCTCAACTGACAACTAAACACTCCAACTCATCCTCATTGTGTCTCGTGGACACCCAATGTTGTGACATAATTTTTGGAGGTGTCTAGATCTTATCATTTTGTAAGTTGGAGTGTTCAACTAATACAGTAGAGACGAGTTGAGGTATTTGGATGTGCATACTCAAAGTTGGAGTGTTTACTTGTCAGCTGTCGCCAAGTTTGAGTGTTTTGTTTATGTGTTATGCCTTTCTGAAACTATGACAAGAATGGAAGTGTTATCTTGTTGATGTTGTTTAACAGATAGCAATTTCGAGAGCATTGAATGGAATAGGACTTGCAATTGTCACACCAGCAATCTTATCTCTAGTTGCTGATTCAACTGATGATACTAATCGCGGTACAGCTTTTGGATGGTTATCACTAACAGGAGGTCTTGGTTCAATAATTGGTGCTCTTATGTCTGTGCTGATTGCTGAAACATCATTCATGGGAATCCCTGGCTGGAGAATATCCTTTCACCTGGTTGGTATTATAAGTGTTCTTGTTGGTCTTTTAGTCCGTCTCTTCGCCAAAGATCCCCGTTTTCTTGACAGAGATGTCAATGCAAAAGATCTACCTACACCGGAACCATTTCAAGAACAAGTGAGAGAACTGCTAAAAGAAGCAAAAGTGGTTATCAAAGTACCTTCCTTCAAGATAATTGTTGCACAAGGGGTTTTCGGGTCATTCCTTGGGACATCACTCTCATTTACCACTATGTGGTTGGAGCTTGTTGGCTTCTCTCACAAGACAACAGCGCTCATCTCGAGTTTGTTTGTAGTTTCTCTGTCATGTGGCGCAGTTTTTGGAGGATTCATGGGGGATGTATTGGCTAAGCACTTGCCTAATTCTGGTAGGATCATGCTCTCTCAGATAAGCACTGGTTCAGCTATTCCCTTAGCTGCAATTTTGCTGCTGCTATTGCCTAATGATCCTTCCACAGCTTTGTTGCATGGTTTAGTCCTGCTTATATTGGGATTTTGCGCATCATGGAGCGGTCCAGCAACAAACAGGTATATCTACTCTAAACCAATATACCATTTGTTTCGAACACTTGACAGATTTTTCCAGTTTGTTGTTCAGCATTTTTATTTATTCAGAGTCTTTCAAACAATTACCACTTCTTTCTCTTTATACCGCCTTATTCACTCCTTCCTCTTGCATATGCATTAGTAGTCGTAGTATTGCTCATATAGTTTCTTGTCCTTTGATTTCTGTTACTATCGTCTATTGGTTATCATAATGTTTTGTTGTAGTTTTGTTCTGTTACGATCTGCTGTTTTTGTTATTATCTGTTGTTCATTATACTTTCTGCACTTTTTTTTCATGAGCCGATGATCTATCAGAAACAATCTCTCTGCGTCTGACCCCACTTTGTGAAACTACATTGTCTATGTTGTTGTTGTTGTTATGTTAGGTACATCCACAAGGCTCGAAATGATGAAAAAAGGAAATGAAAATGACTGAACTTTCACATTAAAATGCCCTTTTTATGTTTTTTTTTTACATTGATCTTAGAGATGGTCTTTGATATTTTGCTCTTTTGACATGTTCGTAGTCCAATATTTGCTGAGATAGTTCCTGAGAGAGCTCGTACGAGCATTTATGCTCTGGATCGATCTCTTGAGACCATTGTAGCATCATTTGTTCCTATGCTGGTTGGTACTTTAGCTCAACAAGTTTTCGGTTATAAGCCAATCCCTGAGGGATCTTCAACTTCAGGGGAAATCGAAACAGATAGACAAAAATGCTGCCTCACTTGCCAAAGCAATGTACACTGCAATAGGCATTCCAATGGTCATTTGTTGCTCCATCTATTCCCTCCTCTATTTCACATATCCACGAGATAGAGATCGTGTCCTGTTGCAACAGATTGATGAAACGGGGAATTCTCCATCCGAAGAACAACAGCCCTTACTCGAGCACGATGAGCAGAGACTTCTTTAAGCAAGTTAGTTAAGAGTCCATAGATTGTATCCATAGCTGATAATATACATTTGCCAGCTATTTTCCTAGTGGGCGATGACTATTTGTGTCGATTTCCCATAGTTTATTTGATACAATAACATTGATACTGAATAAGCAATAAAAATTGCCTACTATATCGACTACCTCAAGTTAATTTAAACTTTAACAACACCACTTAGATAACACTAGCCAGTAACAAAACTCACAAATGAAATGAAACGATCTATGATGCTTTATAACATAGGAATAGATCTACGATATGAGAGCACAATACACTAAACTCAAATAGTAACTTAAGACATTGCAACACTCGATCTGGTTCCTCGTTGCGTGTGAGAGTAGTTCTTCCTTTGAGAAAATGACTTTTGCTTTGAATATTCTTAATTGTAAAAACTAGGTTGTTTCTTGTCAACATATCCAATATATAAGAGAGACAAACCAACCTAATAGCATACCATTGATCGAGGACTATTGTCCTTTCCGTGCCTCTATGACAATGCCCACCAACCACTTATAGTTGCATACTATTGACTTGTCGTCCTCTACAACGAGAACTATAAGGACCAGGTCCTTTAATTAGGTCCCTTTGCTCTATAGTTTATTAATTCATTAAAACTCAAAATACAAAACTTTGGCTCTTAATGACAAACTAGCTTGATTAGAGAAAGTTTTAGTTTAAGAACCCAACTTGGATTAATGATGTCTACATCTAAAAATACGCATAAAAGGGGGTAAAAATCATTATAATAAAAAAAATCAATGATTAAAAAAAAAAAGTCCAATAATTAAATAAGTATGGGTCTAGGAATCTGAAAATGAGATTTGATATTTTCCTCCTATTGATTTTGTAATACTTCATTTTTCAATAAATAATTGGAAAAATTATAACGCCAAGAATACGGTATGTAATAATTATATATTTATCTTTCAATTTTTTAATTATTCATATGATTATTATTAAAAGAATTAATATAGGGTCCCGGAAGAATCTTATCGATATCCCCACACCCCTTCCTAAAAAAAGGAAAACAGAAGGATAAAAAATAAAATATAAGATCTACGAAAAAACTTATATATGCTTAATGTTTACATCGAATGAAAATTAAGTTATTAATATTCATTATTTGTATCAAAATTGTATTAATTTCTCATGATTCAAAGAGTTAATGATCAAAAAGACATTTAAACTATTTCAATTTTTTTGAGTTTCAAATATGGAACTATTGAGAATATGAGTTTCCTACCTGAACTATTACATAATAATTAGTGAAACACACGCCTAATTTTTGATGATGTGTGTACACTTTCTCTTTTGTCTAAAAAATTTGCCATGTGACACTCCACGCGTGAAAGGATAATAATTTTACTGCGGCAAATCTAAATAATTAATATTAGGTTAAAAGTTAAAGTTAAATGTTAAAACTATCATTGTATAAGTTAATTTATTTCAATGGTGCTATCCACCATCTTCTTCTCCACCTTTTTAGCCGTGGTCTCGTCTCTATCGTGACATCGATATCTCTGACTTGAAAGAGGAGAGTTTGGGTTTTTTTTAAAGAAGTCAATTAAAAATATATTTTAAAATATTAGTATGTCAGCTAATAGAACAGTTATATATGCTAAGTAGATGAAGATTTTATAGTAAATTAACTCGCTTAAAAGTATTTCTAGACAACCATTTGGTCTAGTCAATATCTAGGTGTGTTTTACTAACCATTGAGTAGTTGTTCAAGTAAAACACTCACACTCTCAATAATTCAGATATAACACTCAATAAAATAATTTAGAGAAAATGGTCTAAAGCCCCCCTAACCTATACCCAAAATTCCAACTACATACTCCAACTTTACGGGTGTCCTATCATCCCCTGAACATTTCATTTGTCCATTTACTATACACTTGAGTGCTGACTTGTCATAGGAGGTGAGAACACCTCCTCTAGGTGCGTGAGAAGAGGCAATAGCCATAAATTTTGCCGAAAAAAGTTGTACTTCTCCAATGGTCATCTTCTCCAAGTTAAATAAACAGTATTTCCTTCTTTCCCACCATTAACCCTTGTTCCTTTTTAAAAAATTTCACGATTTTCTTTCAATTTAACGCAGGGTTTAGTTGTTTGTGTTCATTTCTCCTTTAAATCTTGAAGTTAAGATTTGTAATCTATTCTAATTTCTTATTTAGGGTCTCTAATTTGAATTTTGAATTTTCTCGAAATTCGTTAAAAATGACAAATGAAAACTTGAATAAGCTTTGTATGGATGAATACACACAAAAATGCTTCGATCATCACCAGAAATGCTTTGATTCAAATGGAGAAAACGAGATGAAAAGGAGATGAAACGCTTCTCTTTGGGGTTTCTTACATTTTTAGAAGGGAAATGGAGAAAAACAATAATTGGGGGTTGAAGTGAGTGGGGACCCGCGCGTGCAAACACATGAGACAATTTATTTGGTTTATGTGGACTGGGCAGCACTCAAGTGTGTAGTAAATAGACAAATGAAATGTTTGGGGTGTATAGTTGAGATTTCGGATACAGATTTGGGGGCTTTAGACCATTTTCTCAAATAATTTAGATATGCTTTTTACTCTTTAAATCTTGATAATTGATATCTTTATGTCTAATTGCTCACACTATTCTACTTCTATTTTATATTTTTTTCAATTGAGATCTTGCTTACACATTTTCATAACATGTTATCTTCACGTAAACTGTAATTTTTCTAATTTGCTTCCTAATAAAGCAAAAACAACGTAGAAGTATTATTATTCTTTCCATCTCACGTGAAGATGTTAGTATTTAAAAAAATAAATATTTTATTATAATTTTCTCAATTTCTTTTAAATCATTAGCTCTATTGCTTTGTAATACTTTTTATAAAAAAATTAATTATATAATTTGATATTTCAAATATTTATAATTAAAACCTAAATATCTCAAATTTCGACTGAGGGAGTAAAAGAATATGACCCACTAATATGAGTTGTAGTGCAGTAGTAAGACTGTTCCATCCTTAATTAGATGTATTGAGTTCGAGCCTGTGGAAAAAATTCAATTGGAAGTACCACCCCCAATTAGCCCTTGCAATGTACAATTCAAATTTAATCGAGACTTCAGTACATGCTCCGAACATAGGACCCCAAATGATGGGGAAACAAAAGAAAAAAAATCCATTTGAAAACTACCCAAAATTTTCTAGGTTGGTGTATCCTCATCGTCTAATATTCAACGTTTTTTTGGGAACTTAATTGGTCCCACATAATACATTTTCCAAGTTTTGAGCATTTAACGTGTCTCCTGTTATACATGTCATAGTTTTATCATATGAAATTACACGCAATGATATTAAAAATAAATGATTTTGAGTAATCGTGAATTTTTAAAGTCAAAGATGTTACTCCTCCATTTTTATTTAGTTGTTATTATTCTAGATTTTGTGTTCCTTAAGAAATTAGATAAGTTTATTATTATACTTTTATTTAGTATTCTCTTAAAGTTAAGTTTTCAATCCATGAACGAATTGATTTATTTTGATTAATTAATTTGATCAATGAACATGAGTTAATTACTTAGTTTATCTTTGTTGGTCAAATACATACTTTTAAGGCTAATAACTCTCAAGAGTAAAATACGAATAATAGTGTCATTTATGCATTGATTTTGCGAAATGGCAAATATTAAGAAATATTTATTTTTAGTAAAAACGATATGTAAATAGTAACAGAGGGAATATTCATGGATGCCCATGTGATAACAGATTAAAAGTTCAAGATCATTCAACTTCATTAAATTTTATTTAAATATTTGAATTAATTAGAATATGTTCTGATCGAGAACACGATAAAGTGTTCATAATAGATATTTTCTGTTCAAATTTTTTAAAAGTTTCTACTCTTATTTTCAAGCAATACCACATAAAATCATGATACTTTCTTTAATTATACACATCAATTTTCTTCGAAATTTGGATCAGAAATGTTTAATAGGAATAAGTTATCATGTGATAAAGTGTTTAGTAGTTCAAATATCTAAATAAAATTATGAAATTTACTACTCTCTATGTCTCAACATATTGTCATATTTTTCATTTACACATTTAAAAAAAATATAAATTGAAAAGTTTATTTGACTATTTTACCTTTATTTACGTCTTAAAATATTGATTAATTACTTTATTAATGTGTCATAATTGAGTTGGTTTTAGTCTTTAATAACAATTACATCTAACAATAAATTAGAATAAATAAATAAATAATTTTGCATTGACTTTTGAAATAACAAATTTTCTTAGCAAGGACAACAACTATTTTGAAATAAAAGAAGTACTCCTTTTTTAAAAAAAAATTTAATTGACCATTATATGAAAAAATAAATGTTTCATTTTAACAAATCAAGAAAGTTTTATTACTCCCTCCGTTTAAAAAAGAATGATCTAGTTTGACTTGGAACGGAATTTAAGAAAAGAAAGAAGATTTTTAATCTTGTGGTTCTAAATTAAAGTTGTGTTAAATGTACCAAAATATCCTTTACTATTGTAGCCTTAAACAAGCCACGTAAAAAGTTGAAATTAAAGTGTTGCTTAAAAAAAAAACTAGATCATTATTTTTTAAACGGAGGAAGTATTTTTTTCTTCTCATATCATTCATACTACTCTATTATACTAGTCAAATTTAGATCTCCAATCCAAATGATCATTAATTAATTTTTTCTTAAGAAATATGCCAGTTCAACAGGGTTCAAGTAATATGAAACAACTATTCCCTCCGTCTCATTTTATATGGCACCATTTCCTTTTTGGCCAGTTCTAAAAAAATAATGTTACATTTCCTTATATGGTAAGTATTTAAAGGAATAATTTTTCTTTTACCTTTGTTGGTCCCACTTAATCTTAAAATAATACTCCAATACATTTATGAGGAGAGAGAAAAGTGAATCTACTTTTTAAAGGGCAATTTGGTAAACATTTCAAAGTCTTCATTTATT